AGACATGAGTCCCTTCTAGATAGTAGATACGTCTTACTGATGAGTGCCAACAAAGACGTAACTTAGGTCCAATGCTTCCTACCAATCGCCTCCAACCATCTAATATGACTGTTGGCTTTATAACGTGGCACTGTTAAGAAATGATAAAGTATGCTAGATGATATCTGAACCCTAATTACGGCGTTAACTGAGATCATCCAGTGAACCAATGAAAACCAGAGAATACTGGACAACTCCTTTGTTCTAGTTTAGAACACTTCAGCAGTCCATACCTACGACGCCACCAGGAGACATAAAGAATCTTGAACAGATCTGGATCACATCAAGTTGTCATGCTTTGAAACAGCCCACAAAATAAAAGTGGACATGAATTCCCTTTGATGACAAGAGCGAATAATTCTTCAGTGAACAAACATGAATTTAAGAGAAAGAATAATGAAGTGAAAACTAATCAAAATGGTTGATATTTACAAAATGACTGGAAGGGAAACATTCTAAGCATTATGAAGAACTTGAAGCCATAACACTAAAAGTTTCTAGTTACTGATTACTTAACATTTCAATGACCCTAAAAAAGTAACCAAAAAATGGACATCTTTCGGAATTAAGTGTTTTGTAAAAGTACATTTCCAACATCAGTTACCTTAGTTGTTAGAATTAATCGATAAGAAACCTGTATCACATGATGCCGAAGTCATAAACTTTTGAAGAACTTTTACCAAAATATTTATCTGTTTGAAATGAATAAAGTGTACTGACTTTGGTCATTATTTACTGTTACCATTGGCTCTTATTCTTTAAATGCATTTTTATTTTGTTTTTTTTTCTATGAATTTGTTGATTACATATAGTCTGTTGAGAGTTTGGATTAAAATGTTCTGATAATAATACATGCTTCTTTAAACTTCGTGTGTGTCTTTTGATCTTAATTTGTAAGCATTGATAAATAACAGCGTTTGGAGGGTTAAGTAGTGTGACAAAGTATTGGGATTACGTGTACACCGTTGGAGTCGGATGAATCCGAATGCACACCGACTGTAGATTTGTTACTATAGTATTCGCTTTACCAGTGTGTTGGTGGTTCACTGGTAGAGTGAGTGCCAGTCACGCAGGAGATTCGAATTCCATTTCCTTCAGGAACATCTCCCAGTTTACTAGCCGGTAGTCAGCCTGGGAAAAGGAAAGGGTGGATTTGAGGCTAGGGACCTCATGATGTAAAGAAGAACAACACTACTGATAGTGAAACTCCAAAGCCTCAAGCCCCATTCTCAATTTTCATAATCCAGCCAGTATATTTTCACATCATTGTAATGTCACTAAGTAAGTGATATCAGACTCCTTTAGATTCGAGGTCCATAGGCTCCATAACTACATCTGTACGTCCTTTCAAATTTAACGATCTATATTTATGACTTGCTTCCGAGTAAACCTATTTTATGGCCAGTCAAATAACGTCGCAGAATACAGAGTTTGGGTATTTTTGCCAGTTTGTGTCACTGAAGAGGTCCGAAAAATCTTACTAAACCCCAACCCAATGGTTCCCTATTATGTCCTAAACCAGGTCACCAAAATCGCCCCATTGTCGAACCGAAATTCCACTAATCAACTACTGAGTGGAGGAGGTAAACTCCTTTGCAGCTGAAAAGATATACGGACTACTTCTTAAGAGATGGGAAGGTGGAGACTAGAGTTTCCTACCAACTGTGTCTGTATCAATTACCATAGTGTCAGTATTCGGTGACTATAAGGTAGACATATATAACCTAGTTGAAATCGCTGACGGAGTTTACGAAAGACCACTTTTACAGGTTACAAATTTCAATCAACCACCAGATGAAGGTATTATGACTCTTGAGCACGAAATGGACCTAAGGAAACTGAGGTTAGAAGCCAGCTGATTCTGTTAGGAAGAGGCAAAACACATGCAATTATCAGTTCATTATCATGTCTCAGTCAAGTTATTATCGCGTTGTTAACAAGTCGCTGACATGCAATTTTTCCTGCTTGTGATCGGACGCTTGCACAATTCCAACTCTCAACCGGATTGGTTGATTTCCAGTCTACCTTATTTTCTGTATAAATACAGTCACTTTTGTCATAATAAATGAATCTGGTTTTACCGCTGATTCTCGCGTGTTCTGCTTTACCAGTTAGGTGGGCACTGGTCAGTAGTTAAGCAGTGACCTCGTGACAAAAGATCTAGCATCATAACAGATTCCACAGCTGGTCGAGCAGTCGTTCACGAACTGTTTAATTCTGCACTGTTTGCACTCGTATCCTCACAGATTTGGCAAGCATCCATGTAGTATCCAGTGGACCATGATTTTGGAAGACGAAAAACCCGGTATTCATTCACGACTGATGTCCCGTAGTCATCCATCCTGCATTATTATTATTCTCTTGGATTCCTATTGCAGCATAGGGCTTCAGTAGCACACCTCCGTTTCATCCTCCTATCTACAGTCGTTTTTACTTAACTCCATGATTGTTTATAAGCTATCATCTCCTCCCCACACGACCTCTTTTATGTCATCCTTGGATGCTCAACTCATCGTTCTGGATTCAGGTTACACTCGAAATGGTGTCACTCAACAGTGTCTTCAGGGTGTGTCCAAACCATCTGCACTCATTCCTGCATATTAATTAGGCAGCGTGTTCCTGACTGGGTTGTTCAATGCTGCTTATCCTTTTTGACCACTAATTTTCAGTATCTGCATTACTGGTAACAAAACCGGGATGCAATTACTAGTTCATACAGGGGCAGAGATAAGCATAATATCATCAATACTCAAATTCTCAAACATACAAATATTGTATCATTCTGTAAGCAGGGAACAGTTTGACGGTTAGTATTTGCAACGTTAGAGTTGACTTGTGATAATACTTTCAAATGCGAATATATGACTGGATTGATGCTTTCCAACTGTTGATGTACATTTTTCACAGTTCTTCAGATTACTGACTGATGCAAAACTCCATAAACATCTCAAAGCTAACTACAGCTAATTGATCTCAGTCACTGTTACTGCGTGTACTTCCATGAACCTTATCATAAGATCCAGAATAAATTCATTCTATACTAAATGAATAGAATTCTCCCATGGATTATTAAAAGATTAAAGTATTCAGCAAGCAAATTGAAAGATATTAACGTGTATCGCATTGTGAAACTCAGCCCACCTGTTGCTTTGATACCACACCACTGAAGTGAAATCAAGTAAGTATCGAAAGAATGCGAATTTTTCTTGGAATGATTGTTGCATGCATAAAACTGAGCTTATACAAGCGTAGAGGATGGAAATAACTGATAGGATACCTTTATTAAACTTCTGATTTTCTCTGGAATAGCTATGATTATAAGCTAATAAACACTGACTGCAAGTCTTTCAGACATATTCATGATTTAAATTCCAAGTCAAATGACAGTATGCCATTGTATAGGTAACTTTATCGTAGATGCTTGAAGTCTGCTTCACTGCCTTAAGATGCCTAGTGTGTAACCACCTTCCTTCTAGGTACTGAACGATAAAATGTTAAACTTTTTAAATCAAATTCGCATTTGAAACTTACACACTTCGAGGAAGTAACAATTAATCCCTTTCCTTCTGCTTAACACCATAAATTATAGTCATAAAAGCGGGAATAAATGCGTAAAACTGTACACTACTGATTGACCGGACGGCCGATTCCCTCGTTTCGGACCGAGCTTATCAGTGGTGTACCAAGTACGACTCAACTCAGAGAGCCGAATCAGTTCAAACCAAGCATTTATGCCTGATTTCATGATTACCATATATGCTATCAAACAGATTGCATATTGTCACTTGAATAATTTTGCTTTCCAAATGAAAGGGATTAAATGTTACCACCTCGAACGGTGTAAATTGTCAATTCGATTCAAAGTGTTACTGGTTTGCTTAAGTTGTTAACCAGAAACCGTGTGGTTTGAACTGATTCAGAATTCTGCGTTGAATCAAACTGAGCTAACTGATGGTGAATTCAGCCCCAAGCGAGTGGAACGACCAACCAGTCTTTAGATCATTTCGACCTGGCTAGCAAGCAATACTGACCTGTTGTAAGTGGTCTACAATTACTCCTCCCAATCACTCAATAGTATATAGTTGCACTGATTTAAACGTTTTACTATTTACTCCCCGGAAACTTATATGGAGAGTAGTAATCCACCGATAATTTGGATTGTATTGTACTTCACTGCATTGTTTTGGAGTAAGAAGGCATCAGAAATAATTGGATACAGAGTACGATTAAATTGAATGCAAAACTTACTGAGCCTAGATTAAAGTTTCGCGAACCATTGGTTTGAACAATGAAGATAAGTTTTGCGGGTGACTTGATCATTTGAAATCTTCAATAACTAAAAGCCCTTATGTTTGTATATGACTGTTATGGCATATAGATACTTTTATTCATATTTGTTCTTGCGTATATGCTGCAATGCTTATGCATCCAATAGCTCATTTGAGATAATCTATTTCCTAATGAGTGTCTACACAGGCATATGCGTCTATGTGTCGAAAAGGTGGAGGCTGTGTAAAATAATTATTATTATCACAAAAGATGGAATCAGAATAAACAAAGCGTTACTGTTCAGATTACACTGTAGTGACATATATATACATGGTGAACTGGCTGAAGATGGTATTTGTAGGCCACTAAATCGGGTCCCAGTGACTGAATGGTCAACGAGATCACTTTGTTACTCGAAGGTCCCCGGCCTGAACTCCAGTGAGTACATACTGCTGAAGAGTTCCAGACTAGGACGAATCAGTTATGCTGTACTTTCTCGTTTTCCAATGGTTCTCTAACTGATGTCAGCTCGTGACCAAACCTTGAACTAACCAAATCCCCGAAAACCACCTCTTGACAAAAGTAAACACCAGTTATGTTTCAGTACTCGTTTAATTGTCTTTTAACTAAATAACTAATTAACTAACCGACTAATTATAATAATAACGCAAAAAGAAAAATATTTCAAAAGATTAAACAATTATCTGAGCTGCCCTTAAAGCAGTTCTACGAGGTATAATATTGCCCAGTTTTCTAGCATAATATCCAATTAAACAAATGACAGAAATAAGTGATACACCAATTAAGCTAGAGAATGCCGCCAATAAGTATTGATTATAACTTTTTTGAGAAGATATGTTCTCCCATAGACCTATCGTTCCGTTGAATGCAGATGTGTCATCACGTTGACATATTGTATTTGTATCAGCCATATATATAAGGGAACAAAAGTGTATATTACCATTACAAATGATTTTATGCTCATTCAGCTTGTTTGAAATGTTCTGAAACCAAAACGAAGAGAGAAAAGAAGAATTAATCTTTTTTTAATGAATTTGCAGAACATGAGTGGAAAAATCTGAAAGTGGTATTAGTGTCATGTTGCTTGTTTGGTAATGATAGTAAGAGTAGTGTGCTAGGTGCTACTGACAATATTTTTAAGTAGTATACACATGCAGATTGATACGAGGTGGTTAGAAATGAAGTCACTATTTTACGTCAATGACTACAGAGGTAGAAGTGCTTTTTTTCTCTCAAATCTGGAACGAGTTTATGATGTGGACATGAGATAACCTTGTTAGACAACTTTTCGTCACATTTTTTAACCTTGAGCCAATTGCTGACCAATCAGAAAAATTTATCGTCTGCTGACATAACTAAATTTCAATATGGCTGAAAATGTATAAATATGATGTGTTTTTCGTTAACAGAGGTTCGTTACCAATTTTCTTACCTTCTTCCATTACAGTAGTAGCAGTAGTAGTTACTAGCATTGGAACTGAGGACTTATGCTTACTCTTATTTTGGACTCATTAATACATACATCCTAGGGGAAATTAAATCAGATACTCATTCTTTTAAACATCTGAATTCTACTTTTGGTCGATACACGATACAAGACGACAATCAAAAAGTTAAAGCAGTATTGAGACATGCATTCAGAGTTCATACACCAACAGAAACCAATCACTTATTCCTGAATTTTGACTTTGAACAACAGAATATAAAAAGTTATGATAAACAAACTGAAGAGTGTATCATATGTAAGAAATTAAGCATACAATGATACATTATCAGCAGTTGGTGTTGATCACTTTATTTAATTGACTGCTTTACTAGTAATTCAAAAACCATTAGCGCAAATTCTATGATGAGTTAGGTGATTTGATTCCACCTTCAGCCAGTGTTAACTTACAGAAAAACCAATCAGAAGATCACAATTATCTCAGATAATCTAAAGAACAAAAGAATCGAGTTTTAACTGATTCAATAACCATCAGACTTTACATTACTGTTTAAGGTTCATCTTTCAAAGAAGAAACCTTAAAAGACGAAAAACAAGTTAATATTATAATTATTTGCAAGTATTGGTTTTGTAGGGGTTTTGTCTGATTAGTTGGAGCATTTCATCATGAACTGACATCGGTTAGAGAACTAATGAAAAATCTGGGAGTAATGGACAGTTGTTTCGTCCTAGATTGGGACTCTTCATCAGTACACCACCGCGAGGGTTCGAACCCAGGACCTTCTGGTTACAAGGCTGGCGAGCTCATAGACCACTATCATCAATTCAGTAACTAGGTCGTTGAAAAAATTTAATCCAATTATTTATAAGCATTATAATTGATCATTTTAATTTATAATAATGAAAAGGATGATGATATAATAATAATTTAATATAATAGAAGTAGATTATGCATTTTGAATTTATATCTTTTTATTTAGACTCTGATGGCTTCATTAACTCTGAATTTTTAGATACAGTGAACTAAAGTCATTGAATGAAGGAGTAATTTTTAAAGTGCTTAGCTATTTTTTTCTTTTAATGAATTTTAGTTGGCTACATATTCCTATGAAACTTCTGAAGAACTGGAAAGCTTGAAGAATCAGAAGATGATATATTGATTTCTTGTCAAAAACAGGCTCGTTAAATCAGAGTATACTGAAAGTAAAAGTTGGAACAGTTGACATAAATTAGTTATCTGAACTCAGTCAATAATATATATTTGAGTTGTCTAGTCATAGTTATTACTCTGACTGACTCAGACAAATCTAAGATGATGCCGCAGAAGTGATATACATCTACTCTCGTTTTGAAGATAAGAAGTGAAATGATCGAATACGATGACTGAGCCAATTATCCCAGAAGTTTCATCAATCTTAATCGACTGATTTTTGAAATAAATCTCAGTGAAGAAAGGAAAGTCTCATTGTGCAGTTGCTGACCTACTTTATATTTGATACCGGATAGATATATGGTCAGTCTTGAAACAGACCATTGGAAACTTCTACAGTTCATTTCTTCTTGGTCTTAGTTCCAATGGATTATCATGCACTAAAGTGTTTTATGCAAACCCATATGCATACTGAGATGCATACCTTTGTGGATGATCATCGTTATCGGAAGTGACACTGCACTAGAATAGAGTTTGGAGGTGGACAGAACTGAATATGGCATTAATCAATTAGATATGGTTTGATTTGATTCTTTCGAATCACAAACGGCCAGACTAAAACAATTTCAATAACAACGACAAAAGGAGTTAGCCAAAGGTCAGAAATGTTAAAGCTGAAACAACAGATCAAAGTTTACATGTGTAAAATTTACCAGGAAAAAGAATTCAATTAGATAATGACGACATTTATCAATCACTGAAAATAAGCAAACTCAAACATATACTACTTGTAAGTAGGCGTACAGATAAGTGAGTCTACTTTTTGTTCATTGTATTGTTTTAGACTTGCTTGGTAGACGTATCTTCATATAAAGGTGGGATGAAAGGTATCCTGTCTGCTGATGACAATCATACTTAGAAGTAATGAAAGCAGTTGTGTTTCAAAAGTAACAGAGATGATTTGACAAAGTGAATAAAATGTGTGTTTATCTAAGATCACCGCGGATAGCCATTGATAGAAAAGTGTTTATAGCTTTTGAATAGCTGACTACACCAATTCACCACAATCTTCTTTGAAAATTACAAATGAAATTGATGCAAACGCTCTACCATAGCATAAACAAGTACGTCACAGAGAATTCGGAAATAATGTAGAGGATTTATAGCCCAAATAGATGTTTTAGGGTATTGTTGTGTTCTCTGGACTGGATGGTTTAAATAAAAAACTTTCATTGTCATTCCTGGCAATATCTTTACCACTAACTTCGATAAGAAGCGGGATTTTGAATTTTTCAAAATTGGTATAACTGCACCCCCTCCCGACTTATGATTTTCACTGTGAATGGTTGTTTTCATAGGATTTTTTTATTAGTATCGATGGCTCATTAACTGAATGTGTTTGAGCAGACAAAAAGCATAGTTACAGATTTGATCGTGAGTTGACACCAATTAGAGAACCATTGGGAAACCAGGGAGTACTGCGCAGATGCTTCATGTCAGTTTAGGAATCTCTAGCAGTACTCACCAACGTGAGCTGGAACCAAGGACCTTCCGGTTCCAAAGCGAGCTCGTTGACTATTCAGTCAGTAGAAACTGATCCAATGGCCCATGTCATAGGCGAGTAACTGTTTAGTCTTTTATCTTATCATGGTCTTAATTCACTGTCTACATTTTAAATTTCATTAAGGTCAATTCGTTCATTATCATTGTTTTCCAGCTTCACGTCCAACTTTCCCTCTTTTCCAAGCTTATTTCCAGGTAGTAAACCAGATGACTTTCAAGAGTGTACTGGCGGAGAATAGAACCCGGTACTCCAGTGCTGATTGACAGCATTCTCCCATTGAAATACCGATGCACTTTAGATATATTTGTCAATCAATCCCAAAATCAAGTGACGCCTCCGATAACTTCAGCCAAATTATGAATTATTTCTACCTTCTCTGCAAAACTGGTACTGAGTTTCCCAGGGGGTGACGTAAGAACAAATAACCTGTCAGCTACATTAGTCATTAGTTGGTGTCCATTTTACCCAACCAGAAAATACTCAACTTTTCAAAGTAATTATCAGTAATTTTAAAGCTAGATTCCGTGTTTAAATATACATTTTTCACTGAAGCATTCAAACTTGTAGTCTACACACATAGTAGCAAATAGGTTGATTAAATTAGGCTATTTTAGTAATGTTATACGGTAAACCGATTGAACAAGTTATCCTTGAGACTAGAGATATGCACCACTGATAACTAAGGTATACAAAATTTATGTTACGTTTTACACAGTATGGAGTACTTTATTTTTTATTTTATTTTTGATTACAGCTTGATGCCACACCGTATTTTCAGTACGAGTATGGAATTTTCGGCATGGATATCGGTAGCCCAAATTTCGCAGGCCGACCATAGATATCGGGTGTGCGTCGGCAGGGGATCGAACCCCGGACCATGTGCATGGTCGGCGTGAGTTCTAACCACTGTGCCACCGACGCACAATGTAGTATTGATTATAATCATCTGATGCTTTGGCATTACGTCATTTTACAATAATAATTTGCTTTATTCCAGAAACAGTGCTAGCGGTACAGTGTGGAATTTTCAGCACATATCTACAATATTTGCATCTAATTTTATCAAACATTTAAAAAGGAGTATTAAACAAACAAAAAGAATATAAAAAAATAAATCTAAAGACACCAACAGCAAAAAAAAGAAGAAAAAAACAGGATAAACACAAAATAATTATAAATGCGAAAAAGTACCAAGAAGTAGCAAGGAAAATCAACATCATATAATAATATCTCAGTATTGGGTAGTGGAAGCTATGATATGATTATGCATGGTGACAGTAAAGCTATAGTCATACAAGAAGTTATGAAATGATATTTAAGAATGTTTATCGCCAAGATGGTCAGTTAATTTGGTTGAAACAACACTAAACAATCATAAAATAACATTTCAGGGTTGTTGTTTTGTTTTTTATTGTCAGGTCTAATGCAGTGTTTGTAGTGGTAGTGTGAGTAATCCTGCATAATACAAAATTTTTTAAGGTGGTGATAATGGCGTTCACAACCAATGATTGTCAGTTTAATATTGCCGAAAAGTATAGAAAATAAGAAAAACAACCACAAAACTAATAATTACATGGTGGTTAATGACAGGACAATTTTGTAATACTCATAGTGCTAATATAGTAGGAACCAGTAGATACACAATAGAAGGAATATAGTAAAGTACAAAAAAGGAAGCCAATGTTAATAATTTAGGTAGCTAAGTATGTTTGAGAAGGAGTTCACTATAGACTATAATCCAAAATTTGAGTGATAACTGGATAATCATTGGTTCATATGTCATTGCATAGATATATGCACAAATTTTGATTTAAGGAATCCATGCAACTGAACACATGGAGTAAATATTGATATAAATTTCTACCTTAGTGTATGAGGAATACTTCCTTCCCAAAATTACAAATTTAAATAAAGGTATCACAAAGGCGGGTAAATTTCATGGCAATTGAAAAAATCCTTGTTGAATAAAATGGAATGGTTATATTCTTAAAGGTCTAGGATGGACATAACACACCAAAATGATAAGACATTCAAATACTTCAACGTTGTTTTGTTCAAATGTAAGTATAACTATAGTCTAATGTATCTGAGTGACTTAAAAACATGCTGAACAAATCTAACCCAAGTTCAGTGACTGACTGCTGAAATTGAAATGATATGCATGTCATTTATTTATCCAACGACTTTTATACAAACTAGTCGGGTTCATATATATATAGAAATATAACTGATCTAACGATGAAGAAATTTACTGAGAAGTGTGTAAGTTCGAGTTGCCGCCCACCAAAAGTCACGCATAAAAGTATAGAGGAGAGACATGAAGGGACCTAAATACATAGAAATCTAAGGTGTGCGTCGGTGGGACAGTGGTTAGGACGCTCGCCGACCATCCACATGATCCGGGGCTCGATCCCCGGTCGACGCACTCCTTTACCTCGCTAAGCCAGAAATAATGGTGGTGAAGAGGAAAGGTTGGGCATGAGGCTAGCAACCCCATCGGGTAAAAATAAACACTGCTACAGAAACTTCAAGCCACAAGCTTGAAGCCCTATGTTCCACTGGGGAACGTGAAGGAAAAAAAATCTAAGGTAGAGAGAATAGCTTAGTGAAGATGACTAACAACTTTCGCAATTCTCAAGGTTAAAAGGAATGAATCATCCACGTCAGTGAGAATGGCTTTGAGCAAAGTCACTAACAGTCTCCGATTGCACCATGAAGAACCTACAAAAGTAGTATAAGCCATCAGCCGAAAATCTCATTGATTAGTACTGTATTTGGATCTGACCTTTCCTGTTTCTTTTAATATCAGGTAAGTTGATGCTGGCATTGCTTTTCAAAGAAAGCAGTGAATCGGCACGCGTAGCACATGTTCAAACCATCTCAGTCTCAACGATTGATCTCATCTTACCTAATACTGTAAGCATAACATAATTAGAAGTGACTATATGATACCATTTAACATAAGAGACAGAACGCAAATACGTAAGGTAAAAGACTATTAACCCCTGTGACAGCTGTAAAGAAGGACAGGGTAAACTGATTGGATAACAACGCCTGGTCAAGAGACAATTTACTTTGGTGAAAGCAAAACGAGACTTTTTAGACTAGATTAGTTTTAGTCAGCATTCAGTCACTTCTCTGGCGATGCTTGGCTGTAAAGGGAATGCCGAGAAAATTCATTGCACTAACTAAGGCACTCTACTCGTACTCATGCAGCCAGGTGAGGGCTTATGGCAAGTTGTCATCTGAAGTGGTGACAACTAGTGGCGTCCGTCAAGGATGCCCATTATCCCCATTCCTATTCAACTTCATCATAGACGTACTAATGAAGTTAACCCTAACACACTTCAGCAACTCAGGGATTGACTTGCTACCAGGGAATAATCTCGTTGACTTAGAATATGCGGACGATATAGTCCTTCTAGGCGAGGACGCTGACAAAATCAGAGCCTTCTGAACACCTTGAGCAGCAATCTTCGTATGTTTGGCATGCGATTCGCCCCTGTAAAATGTAAGATGATGCTGCAGGATTGGACCTCACCGACCCCTAGATTAGAAATAGGAAGTGAAGTGGCAGAGCACGTTGACCGCTTCATTTACTTGGGAAGTACCATCAGCCTCAACGGGTTGATCTCCGACGAAATCTCAGCACGAATACAGAGGGCTAGGTTCGCATTCGCCAGTTTTCGCCGTCTCTGGCGTAGACGCGATATCCGACTATCGACCAAAGGGCGTGTGTACTGCTCATCAGTCCGCTCCGTCCTCCTCTATGGTCAGCTGTGAGACCTGGCCATTGAGAGCAGAAGACATGAAAAGATTATCTGTGTTCGATCATAGGTGTCTGCGTTCCATCTCCCGCGCGAAGTGGTATAATAAGGTGAGCAATATTGAGGTTAGGCTTTGGTCGAGTGCTAGGTAAGGCGGGGAAATCAATCGATGAGACTGAAATTACATCGACTGAGATGGTTGGGACATATGTTACGTATGCCTAGTCATCGCCTTCCTCGACAATGGGCAATAATGTTAGCTGATATAGGGTCAGGCTGGAAAAGAGCTAGCGGCGGTCAAACCAAAACATGGCACCAATCAATGAAATCCACAACAGTTGGTCTAGGCCACGTAGCAAGGAGTAGACTTCCTGACTGGTTGGGGTCCTCGGGACGGTAAAAACCAATGGTTGGAAACAATTGGTGACATGGCTCAAAATCGTTCTCAGTGGCGCAGATGCATCCACTCCTTGTGACTTATGATTTCCAATAAAACTGTTTTGTTCTTCGTTATTACTATTCCTTTGTCTCACACCTCTGTTTACTGTCTCTGATATGCATTTCTTTTACTTTCTTCTCTTGCTTTGTGTGCTACCTGGAGTGTGACGACTTCAACTGCGCAAAGTTCTATGTCGAAAACCGACCGACCGACCGAGTCCGTACATTAGGGTTGATGCCAATTCCCAGATACAATTCCTATCCTTAGAATATGGGTCTGCAGTATCATCTCACATCTGACAGAAGCATATCTCGGGATCTCTCAAGTGATAAAAGTAAATGCTACTTTTAGATCAACGAATATGACCGGTGTCGGACACGGGTCAATATTGCCAATGTTCTAAGAAAGAGTGAAGATATGTTCAATGCTACGTTATTACCGTGCAGTCTGCGAAAATTCCTGTGGATTGTCATTAAATTATACTTTTCACATTATATCTCTGTCTATTGTTATTCCACCATATTTAGTTTGCCTACTTTCATTTCTAGTTTTCCAAAATATGGCCACTTGACCCTCGATATATATATATATATGTATAATGTCCCTTGGGTTCCGAATAGAACATAACGCTTTAACACCATACTGTCTCTGCCATCACTATCATCTGGCTACAAAAATACCCACAAGCTTTCATTTCCTTCTCATACGACCTCCACCACGTTACCATCGGACACTTACAAATCTCATCACTTTCCGTCTCAGCTTTATTTGAGGGCGTTCATGGTGTGTGGTGTTACTTGAAGGTCTCATCGGTGTTTATCCGGCTGATCTCCAATTCCTTCTTAGCATTTTTCAGGTAACAGATTTTTGACTGTCAAGCTGCTAGAGTTTCTTGCAGTTTATTCTGTCCAGACAGACACCTGATCTACAGTATAGCGTTTTTGGGACAGTCACTGGTGAACGTATGCAGTAGCGTATTGAAAACGCTTTTGTTATCGTGCGCATCAAGTTTTTGAAGTATACAGAGGGCCTGAGTAAATAGTCTTAAGGGTCCGGTTCTTCTTCCTTGTGCTAAATGTGCTGTTGACCTCCATATTGATTTCTGGGCAAGGAACATCTATCTTGGTTTCTCGATTTGCTTCTAGCTATCTTCAGCATCCTCATTCGTAGTCGAAAGGATGCTGCCCAAGTGAGTATGATCTTATATACTGCCATGAAACCACTCAGTTATGCAAGAAATCAATACAAAAACAAATTTATATATCCCAGAGGTACAGTTTTTGTCTAAATTTTATGTAACTAGACTTGATCAAACTGTATAAACTAATGAGCATAGGTTAACTCACCTTATCCTTAACATTTATCACTATTGTCGTATAGGAATTCAGCGTTTTCAAATCAATCACAGTAAACTGATGCCTTCCAATTATTTCACTATGATATGTTGCATGAAATATTACATATAATATTTTAGATTGACCGTTTAATAAATTAAAATATAATTCATGATTTAATTTATTCTCATTAGTAAATTTATAAAAATGATAATCTAATATTGGTTGTCTATGCGCATTTAATTTAAAGCTGACTGGAACTGTTCTTGTTGAATATTTCCATAAGATTTGAAATTTATCATCAACCATATCTAAATTATGTGCTGTTAAATTAACAATTAATACAAAATTAATATTTTTAACACTTGACTTTAATTCAATATAATGACCAGATAAATCAGGCGAAAATTCTAAATTTGTATAACCTAACATTGGAAAATATAATGAGATTGTATGCGGTTCTAATGAATTGTCTATATCACCTGATAAATAGCCTAAATTTTGACTACCATAAGTGATGAATATCAACCATGTTTTAAGCCACTGAGCAATATCTGAAGTTGAAGCAGTCATATTTTTTTATTTAGTTATCATCATATTTGTCCAGTTTAGATATCCACGGTAATAAGTTAAAATAAAAAGTAACTTATTAAATAAGTGAAGTATCAACAAACAATATGCATGAATGTGCTCTATGAACTAGTTTGTATATATATATATATATATATATATATATATATATATATATATATAGATCATTAAACAGAGGAAGTAATCGATTCATGTTCGATAATGTAGAGTCCATTTGAATAGAGTATATGTTACATAGATTTATTTATTTTGTGTTTAATGTAATGATGAAATTATTGTCTACGACTATTTAATTAAAACACAAACATAGGACAGTATGAACATCGAGAGAAAAATGACATAACATAAAAGTAATATTAGGAGGGGAGAAAAATAAGGGAGTTAAAAAGTAATAATAATAACAGTTATCATAAACATTCTTATAATTTTTTGGATTATTATTCTGAAACCAGTCTGGGAATCTTCTGCACCAAGCATAAGAAAAACAAGATTCAGATTTCCAATACTTATTGGAAATCCCTACTGCTATAAAGTTCCAAGACTTGGCGTGTCACGAAAAACATTTCAAACTGGCTCTAGACTTTTATTGACGGCTGCCACCTTCGCTGGCTGCATACTGAGGAACCGATGACCCGCTGGGAAGGGTAAGTAACAAAAACTCTAACAACAAACCAACTAAAAACCTATTTGTCGCTCGACAAATATGCAGAAGGAAATGGAGGTGGATTAGACTCACTCGGATCAGACCGTCAAGTGACATCACATGCCAATCCATCACTCGAGTGGAAGGTGAATGAAAAACGACGAGTAAGCCATGTCTTGGGGGTGACATGGAGGATATCGTGTGAAGAGGAGTTGAGAGCTTATGATCAATCATAGAGCCAGCTAAAGAGGACTGCAGAGGACAAGAAGAAATGGACATGTGCTGCTGAATCCCTATATTCCACTGGCGACCAAATAGAACGATAATAATAAAATATATAATAATTTTAGTGGTCAGTATGTTAGCTACTGATTTCCACTCTGAGTCATGTATTGAAGCACATTGACCTAGTAAGCTACATGGCTGTTTCCCATATTTTCTCGACGGAATTGTTACTGAACAACAGAGCATTCCTGTGATATCACACAAAAAGGAGGCCATTATGTACTAGCTCAGGAGGAATCTACGAGTTATGTGTTGATCCGAAGGTGACAGGGTAGATGTCATGTGTAACATTATTGGTGGTTGTGCAGCCACTCAAAAAGGACTGGAGAGAAAAGGGTGAAATGTTAATGTTCTACTGAAGTCTTATGCTCCCCTAGAAACTCGAAGGGGACAATAATAATATTATAATAACAGGCGCTAAGCCAGAACAAGTATCCGTCATCACAAATTACCAGATTATGAGTTGATCACCTGGTTGCACTTCTCAGTCACTTATAGTTCCAGCAAATAATGAACAGTAATGAATTCGCTAGAATGGTATTATAAACATATATTTCTTCCAGCAAAGCTAGTGTCTGGTGCTGACTTCATACACTGAAATGTAATCTCCCCGTTGTTTGAACAGGTTCAGTAACACCCAAATATTATTTACGCGGTGTCGTTACGCTACTGACTTGGAAAGTCCGGGTTTCTCATGTGTGCATGACAGTCAGTCTAAGAATGTGACAGGAGTAGATGGTACACATATCGATGTTTGGCTCTATACCATTTGAAATTCCACACATCAGAATTCCTCTGCTGCCCCAATAGGTGGATAAATACGCTGAATTTTCGACTACTTCTTTTGCTTTACGCGCGTGGATCGTTGCCATCGAATGCCGCCACCAATCTCGCTACAGTAGATTGCAAAGCATACAGACACTAACTGCCAACTAATTCAATATTATTTGAGGAGCCTATGTTTTTTTCATATTGCAGGGCAAAATCTTCCTCATATTCAAGATCGATTATTCTTTCTCCGAACAGTCACTTAACCTTCTTCAGAGTTGTCTCCAAAATGTTTTTGCTCCCAGAGTTTAATTTTTTTTATTTCTTTGCGTTTCAAATGGTACATGGGACTTCAAGTTTGAAGTCTCAGTAGCAGTAGTGTTTTTTATGGAGTGAGTCCAGTAAACTCACTCTTAACCTTACCTCTTTTGCCGTTCTAACTACTGGCTAAGCGAGGTTTAGGACAGAGTGCGTCTGCTGAGGATCGAGTGCTGGACAACCTAGGTGGTTGGCGAGTATTCTACCACTAAACCAATGGCATACTCAGCGTTTATTAGGAGTATAGAAACTGAAAAACTTTTAAAATTTCAAACTGTTGTGACACTTGGTTCTATGCCTCTAATCTAACCAGGGTATTTTATACGGAGTGGTAATTCCAGATCCAGATAGTGCCAAATGAAAATTACTTCTAACATAAAGGAACATAACAACTGATGGTCTATAGTACTCATGACAGTCTCCCAATTGATGATCGGTTGAATTATGATGAAGGCCAATAATTTTACGCGAGAAGCATCACACTATTATACGCTCACTGTCACATACATTACACAAACTCTACTTAAAGAAATAAGTATACAGGAAACCTCATCCCAGTATGCCAGAGCTCTTTCAGTATTACTCCATTATGGATAAGATTTTATACATTTGTTCCCCTTAATGAATTTAAACAAAGCAACAACTACAGATTTCGCAGAATAAAATGGTACCATATTTTATTTCGTCGCCTTCTCTTCAGCTGCTTACAGGGCAAAAACATTATTAAATGTATCTACAATAACAATTTAACATACTTACACAGAGTTCATTTTAAACAGAAATCAATCGATCAATATACACATAAACTAATTATATATACATATATGTATATATATGCAATCTTGAACACAATTCCGAGCATTAATAATCATACAAAATGAAAACTTTTTAGTATCTCGCATCAGGATGAAAAATATCCAGTTACCAGGGCAAAGAAAGACTGATAACTGCTTCTTTCTGAACGCACAAATCCGGTTTTAGGCGCTTGATGGAAAAGGCTTCAGCAAACTTAAGGAGCATTGAACTCTTTTGCTTATTGATAATTTTGAATGACTTTTCCACGTCCACATCATGACCCATGTCAAGAAGATGCCTGGCGATGGCACTGCCTAAAGCATTTGTTCCCTTTAGACGTAAGCTCTTTGGTACATGTTCAGAAAATCGTAGATATGCTCTTCTTTCTGTTCTTCCAATGTAACTGCTCCCGCAGATACATGTAAATTTTTATTTTGATAAGTCACACAATGTTTTACAGTAATACTAACTGATGACGTTTCGAGCACAAATTATTGCTCATAATCATATCTCTCTCAGTATTCCATATATATATATATATATATATATATATATATATATGCGTCGGTAGCACAGCCGTTAGGACTCTCACTGATCATGCACATGGTCCGGGGTTCGATCCCCTGCTGATGCATACCTGATATCAGTAGCTGACCTGCAATATCACATTGCTGAAAATTACATACTTGTACCAAAAATACTGTGTGGAATCAAGCTATAATCAAAAATAATCTATTAACTTGGACAAAATGAGTATGTGAAAGGATCTACGTTATCTGGATTCAGTGTCTTATCATGCTCAAGTAACTAAAGTTTTTTTTCATACCATAAGTTCATTAGAAAGATTAGTTTATCTGATCCTGCGAGACTTCAATTTATGGTAATTTGAATGAATTGATATATGAGATATAGTTAGGCTTTCTAATAGGTACTGAAATGAAAATGAAAGAATACACTTTTACAGTGTAATAAAGAATAATAATCCCATGTCAGATATGTAGGTTCTTTAAGGACAAGAAACCTTTGACCTTAATCTCTAAGCAAACAAATCATGTAACCTATCATGAATAATAACCTTAAAAATATAGTTCAACTAATCATTGTTTCTGGTTTACAAATAAGGGTCTTACAGTATTTTTGATAAAAATCTATAACTGTATATTTAGGACTGTTCGTAGCATAGCGAAGCACTTTATCCATGATTATATAATCTCTCAACACTGCCGAATAGTTAATTCCTTATTGGTTTGTTTTTGGATATATTATATTACAGTGAAACAGTATTATTTGCTGAAAGAAGTTTCGAACACACTTTATCATTCATTATTATTAGTATTCCTTGCAGCTGTGAGTGGAACATAGAGATTCAACAGCACATCTCCATTTTATCCTCTTCTCTGCAGTTCCCTTGAGCTGGCTCTACAACTGACCATAGACTCTCATCTGCTCCTCACAGCATCTACATTATGTCACCTCCAGATACACGGCCAACTCGTCGTCTCCCATTCGGGTTCCCTCCGGATATCACTCGACGATCTCCTCAGAATGTGTCCGAACCATCTCCATTCCCTTCGATACATTTGCTAGGCAATTGATTCTTGGCTGGTTTGTTGCCAGAATTCCTTGTTACTTATTATTTCCAGGCTATCACCTGATAGTCAGAATGGGTCATAGACAAGTGTTAAATGAGAGACAAGGAAGTTAGCTGTTGGTGAAAGTTTTTAGCGGTTTGTTAGAATGGCTTTCGGTAACGTGTGTGATAAATATCTGCACCATGTAGAAGCTTTGACTGACTTTACATTAGGGTTGAAGATCGGAACCGTGTTCTTTGTTCTCAATGCAGTAGAAATCCGCACCGGTTTTTCTTCACACCCGTGGACATCAACAGTCACAACTTTTCACTAGAACTCCAGTTCGCGCTTAAATCGAGAATGAACAAAAGTAAGAATTCATGGGCCATTATATTTCGGCCTAAGCGGCTAAATGGTCAGCAAGCTTTACTTAGTAATCTGAAGGTCTTGGGTTCGATTTCTGGTGCAGTAGTGGGTGCGTACTTCTACAGAGTGTCAAACCAGGACGAAACGCCTATTCACCTGGTTCTTTACTTGATATTAATCCGTGATAAAACTTGAAACATTTCATTTCCTTACAAATCAACTCTTGAAAAATCATA